CCAGGAGGTTTTTCTCGTTTGAGTCCATCCTAAACATCCACAAATCTACCATTCGTCCATGCATGGAATATTGTTGTCATATATGGTCTGGTTCTCCTGTAGATCAGCTCGAGGTTCTCGACAAAATCCAAACACGGATATGCAACGTGATCGATCCTGACATGCAATCTCAACTCAGTCGCTTTCTCACAGACGTGATGTGTGTTCCTTCTATCTCTTCTGCAAATATTTTCATGGCAACTGCTCTGACGAAATATTTTCCCTGGTGCCTCGACTTCATGAATTTAAGCGTTCTACTAGATTGCCATCTCAGTCCAACTCTTTTAGTGTTGAAACAACCTCTTCTACTCCAACAGATTCTTCTCTCGTACTTTCCGACAGTGGAACTCCCTTCCTTTTACTTGCTTCCCCAATAATTATAATCTTCAAACATTTAAATGTAATGTCAATAGTCGACTTCTGATGCCTTGGTCCCTGTTCTTCTTTTGATCCTTTCCTTAATCCCCGCCTACACCTAGTCTTTTCTCTTATCTTCACTCTCTGTGAACTCTCGTGCATTAATGGTACTCCACCTTTCTTGGGGTGAAATGCTTAAAAAAATACATATTTATGTGAACATAATTACTAAAGGCAGTGATATGTGTTTTATGTTGGAGCTTTGTCGAAGTTATATTTTTGAATGCAGTTTCATTTAAGAAATTGTAGGATATCTGGATTGATGTCATGAAATAGTACTTTCGTGATTAATATATTGTTGGTAATTTTACTATAAATAGGTACTGTTATTTATTTTATATAAAATGCATTACTGTTAATTTTATTATTGTCATGGGTCCTTACCTATAACTACAGAATGAAACCTTCCTAACACTATGTATACTACGCCTCTCAAGAGAGAGGATCGAATCAAGCCGAGCTTCTCGGCTTGATCGTCGAACTCTCTGTCTCTGAGCAGAGAGGAACCCAGACGAGGCTCCGCCGATGGGCAGAGTCTCGTTCGGGGAGGTTGACTAACCCGATCCCGTTTATACGGGTTCTACGGACATTTTTTGGCCGAGCCTACGAGCTCAGGAAACCCACGTTAAACTCGGCCTTGTGCCACATGCAACCCTCGTGGGAGGGTGGCTAGATACCAAATCAAGCCGAGCTTCTCGGTTTGACGGTCGAACTCTCTGCCTCTGAGCAGAGAGGAACCCGGACGAGGCTCCGCCGAAGGGCAGAGTCTCGTTCGGATAGGTTGACCAACCCGATTCTGTTTTTACAGTTTCTACGGGGGGGGGGCAAGTAAATATCAAATCGAGTCGAGCTAGCTATAGTTCACTCCAAACCAGACTGACAGTCATACTAACACCTTCCACATCTTGTATTGTTATTTCGTGTAATATACCTTTGTTATTTCTACTCTTGTGTTCGTGTTGTTCTTCTTTGGTCCTAACCTGGACCATAACAATTATAGAATTGTATTTTTATACATTCGTAGGGTTTTGTTTTTTTGTTTTTTTCTGGGGGTAACTATTTTCCCATAGCAGGGATTCTAACAGTTGTTACCCTCTTGGGTCAGGGGGAACCTGGAAACAATTGAAGTTAAGAGGTGGTTCCATGCTCCTCAAAAATTCCCGATCAGAAGCCTTGCTGCCGGATGTAGTGTATCGTCCTACCCAGCAATTTGCGATCTATCTAGAAAAATTCCAGTGATTTGAATATTTTGAGAATCGGTTGTGCGTACAGCTTTGATGTAATTTGGTCAAGGACTATACAGAACTTAATCGTGTGTGCGTAAACAGATACATTTATGATGATTACTCACTCGGTTATTCGTCGCATTCACGGACATCAAAGTTTACATGAAACTTGTGCATTCGTCCGTAGTGATTATGCAATGAGCGAAGACCAGTTAAAATTTAGGCATCTGCACTTCAAATTAGACTAAATTTCCTTAAAAATGCTTTGATTTAATTTGGTCAAGCACCATAGAGAACCTAACCGTGTGTGCGTAGCACCCTTGAACATAGAATAGATAATACTACGGGTAGTTTCGCATACAGCAAGCCGATAAAACACATTAACCTAAAAAACATTAACATAAAAATTGAGTTATATTCTTAAATAGACTCAACAGAGTTTCATATGATTACATGGCGCTAAACTCGTCCAGAAATATCTAAACTGTCAGTCGTATACAATCGTATATTTTAATAACGAACTACATGAAATTGATGTATTAATATTCATATCCGTAAATTTATGAATATAGGGAAAATACTTTCTCACATCAATGGTTACAAATGGTTTCAAACGAATAAAGTATAAAGGTTTTGGCAAGGGCTATGCTTCTTCACACCTTGCGGACTGGCGCTATACAATCACTAACAAAGAACTGTACCAAATAACAGAAACCACACCACTTGAGGACTTTCAACAACAGCAAAAACTAAAATGGATATCACATGTAACTGTAAAAGGAAATAATGACAAAGAAAATTTTACATTCCACAGTACTTCAGACAAAAAGCTAGGAAGGAAACCTCCATCAATATTGGGAATTCCGATAACAATTATTAGACATGGGGAACCTATTTTCCGGAAATATTGTTTAAATAGAAAGATTTTATAAATTTCCACTGACATCAAGACAGTGCTCGATCAATGAATGCTGAATATTTTATATAAGGTAACGGCTAATATTGCCATTAATATTGCTAAAATACGCTTTCCAATTAATTATATTATATAACAATAAAAATAAACTGTCATCAATCAATGTTTTTATTATTTCTGCTGAATGACATTTCTTTCAAGAATTTATACACACCTGATATTACCATTATCATTATTATCTATCACGCACTATTTGTATCTATCAACATATCTCTCTATCTATCTATCTATCTATCTATCTATCTATCTATCTAATTTTGTTCATATCTATCTATCTATCTATCTATCTATCTATCTATCTATCTATCTATCTCATTCTGTTCATATCTATCTCATTCTGTTCATATCTATCTATCTATCTATCTATCTATCTATCTATCTATCTATCTATCTATCTATCTATCTCATTCTGTTCATATCTATCTATCTATCTATCTATCTATCTATCTAATTTTGTTCATATCTATCTATCTATCTCATTCTGTTCATATCTATCTCATTCTGTTCATATCTATCTATCTATCTATCTATCTATCTATCTCATTCTGTTCATATCTATCTATCTATCTATCTATCTATCTAATTTTGTTCATATCTATCTATCTATCTATCTCATTCTGTTCATATCTATCTCATTCTGTTCATATCTATCTATCTATCTATCTATCTATCTATCTATCTATCTATCTATCTATCGATCTCATTCTGTTCATATCTATCTATCTATCTATCTATCTATCTATCTATCTATCTATCTAATTTTGTTCATATCTATCTATCTATCTATCTCATTCTGTTCATATCTATCTCATTCTGTTCATATCTATCTATCTATCTATCTATCTATCTATCTATCTATCTATCTAATTCTTTCTCATTAATGTGGTTCATTTCAGAGAGAAAATAATTGTATAATCAAGATGATGACGTTCCTTACCACTCCCAACCAAAATTGGGATTTTAGCTCCTATCCATCAAGAGTGGAAACAGCAATAACAGTTAGTGGACTTGACAAATCTATTTCCCTAATAAATTGTTTTAATAAATAAAAAAAATTATAAATTTCAACCAAGAGTAGTACTGGCTATTCTGTCAATGCATTCTGAATGTTTTTTAATATTACCATTAACATTGCTAATTAAAGTAATTAGACATTTTATGAAATAACGTGATATATACTGTATCTTTCAATCTTTAATTGGTAATGTTAATTGTAATAATAACTATATTTCTTCAAGTGTTTAAAACCCCATATATTTTCAAACACTTGCACGAAATATAGTTTAAATATACGCTATTCTTGTTAACTTAATTATAATCTATTAATTTTATAATTGAGATTGACTATTACAATTGGTAAGAGACATTAAAGTAACACGTAAATTATTATTAAACCTTTAATATGTCAGTTATTTAAAATATCTAAGAAAGTAAGTATAGATATTTCACTGTCAAATCTGTGATTTCTTTAAGAAAAAATCAAATGAAATCAATAAAAAGCTGGAACCATGTTTTACATTATTTATTGCGGAAGAAAACAAAATTATTTATTTACTTATTTTTACATTTCAATTATAATTTACTATCTTGCTCATATCAACTTTCATCTTTTATTTCTAACTTTCAAAAAATGTAAAGAATTGCTTATGAGCCCTCTTTTCTGTTTCATTTGTAAAGCATAAATTTTCTTGAAAATATTCATCACTTCAACTCTCAGAGACTGTCTGTATCTATATATCTATCTCACTCTAATTATATGTATCTATCAATCTATCTATCTATCTATATATCTATCTATCTATATATATATATATATATATATATATACATGTGTGGGTGAAACTCAGTCTGTTTCTATCTATCTCATTGTATTCATATCTATCTATATATATATGTGAGTGTGTGTGTGTATCTATATATCTATCTCACTCTATTCATATCTATCTATATATATGTGTGTGAGTGTGTGTTTGTGTGTGTGTATCTAACTCAGTATGTTTCTATCTATCTCATTCTATTCATATATATCTCAATCTGTTCATTATCTATCTATCTATCTATCTATCTATTTCAGTATCTATCTAGCTATATGCAACAGTCGCTACATATCAATGTCTGTGTTTGGTACTGAATGCATTTTCAGCTTTTAATGATACTTTTACATAAAGTAGTACATTTTTCAGTCATATCCATCTGACAGAAATAAACTAGTGAATATAGCGAAAAATTGATGTTTGCAAAAGCCGAGACAATTTTCCAAGGACAGAATATTCAGCTGGCATTGTCACATCAGACTGAAAATAACCCTTTGTTCACGCTATCGCTAATCCTGTGAAGAAAAGTTATGTACACTGCATGTGGCACCTCTGCATTGTATATATTTGCGCAGATAGATAGATAGATAGATAGATAGATAGATAGATAGATAGATAGATAGATAGAAAAAAAGAAAGAAAGAAAGAGAGTGAATGAATCAGTGAGAGAGATACGAAAAGACTGAAAAAGATAGATAGATAGATAGATAGATAGATAGATATGATAGATAACAGATAGATAGATAGATAGATGAACATAGAATAGATAGATAGATAGATAGATAGATAGATAGATAGATAGATAGATGCATACATACATACATACATACATATGAAAAAATGAGACTTACTTTGTACATTAAAGTATATAATTTCGTATATTTCGTTATTGGTTAAGAAAGTGGCAATAATTAATCCTTTATTATTAGATAGATAGATAGATAGATAGATAGATAGATAGATAGATAGATAGATAGATAGATAGATAGATATGAACAAAATGAGATATGAATACATACATAGATATGAAAAATAGATAGATAGATAGATAGATAGATAGATAGATAGATAGATATGAACAAAATGAGATAGATACATACATACATACATAGATATGAAAAAATGAGATAGATAGATAGATAGATAGATAGATAGATAGATAGATAGATAGATAGATAGATAGATAGATAGAAACAAAATGAGATTGAGGTGGTAGACTGATAGATACTAATAGATTAGAATAGTAGTCCTGTCGATTTAGAGTGAATATAAGGTTTATTCGGAAAAGATGTTATCGAGATATGTTTTATATCATTGTAAGTGAAATTTTATATCCTGCAAGGAAATAAAAACTCCTCTCTCATCCACCTTGGGAAATTTTTTTACGGCCGTTTTTCTGTGCACCACATTTTGCAGAAAAAAAATAGGTACTATAAGGTAAAACATGGTTCTTAGTCACTTGAGTAATTTACACTTGTAAGTAGTTTTCATGCAAAGTTCATTTTGAATGTGTTTTACGAGTTATTTGAACATTATGATGTCAATTTCTAATTTGTAGGAGTTGAGGTTATGTTTCCTAATTGTGCAGTATAATCTGTAACTGAAAAAACCGACCAAAAGTGAACAAACAAAAGTGAACAACCCAAAGTGAATTTTAAAGAATACAAGAATTTTGTTTAATGCCTGTATTTTAACTGTTCTTCTTTATTGTCAGGTGTTCAAAATATACAGATATCACGTGACCATCTTGAAATCTACACATAGTGAGAGCAAAGTCTTAGAGAAACATATGGGTTGATCAGAAATATTCTAAAATATTTGTCTGACTGTTACCTTTATCTTTCTATCTATCTCTCTAGACTGTTTTATTTGTCAACTTCAATTTGACAAACCAATTATTGGTCTGTCAAATTGTGGCTGTTTAGTCAGTATTTCATTCGCTAAGAGGAATATAATGATGGTAGTTCTTTGTTTTGTGTTATTATTTTATATTATCTACTGTTTCACTGCTATATATACATGACTACTGATATATGCCAGATCATAATGGTGAAATATGGCTACGTTTTATATTCAGGTTCATTATTTCAGATCTGGTTCGTAAATTATCCTCCAGAATTAAATTTACTCAGGTGGTCCAAATAAGGATTTTTTCATTTTTACAAGAGGAGACAATAACATTTCTAAAAATACAATATTTAGCTTGGTAACATTTTTTTCCCGGTGGGTATTGATATCGACCAGACTAATATAGCAAAAACATATCCACCCCCCACAAAAAAAAACAAAAGACAAAAACAAAACGATCCATAAGTACAGGCTATATTGAGCGAGTTATTTATTAGAGCGGAATTTAATTGCATACCAAAACCTCAATTACATAGATTAGTTTTTTTTTATTTGTCATGTCCCTTCAAAAGGTTGTCGATCATGGTTCTTCACAACTTCCTGTCTTTTATAGCTTTTATAAATGTTGTCTTTTGGTTATATCTCCTAAACCCTGCTCTGTAATCGATATAGACAATCTTATGAGTGTCCAATTTTCCAAGTCCCCATTCCTCGTTATGTACATTAAAAACATCAACTGTCTTTCTGACTGTAAGTATAAGTGTTCTTTCTGTTTCTATTTTCTTTAAAAATTCGTCGTTGATCACATGTTCAGTACATGATAATATCATCCTTCTGTAGAACAGCGTTTTTGTTGCCTCAGTGATGAGATCTTTCAGCATTCACAAGAATATAGAAGGAACGATATTACATAACAGTTAAGTACACTTAAAACATTCCTGTTTCTTAATACTTTACTTAGTTTTGGGAACATCAGTTGTAAGATGACAGAATGTATGGTTGGAAGCAAAAGGAACAGTCCAAGATGCGAACTAGGAATTGGTGACTTCATAATCAAGCAAGTACAAAATGGTAAATATCTAGGAAGTATTTGCTTAGTTTTTGGAACATCAATTGTAAGATGACAGAATGTATGGTTAGAAGCAAAAGGAACAGTCCAAGATGCGAACTAGGAATTGGTGACTTCATAATCAAGCAAGTACAAAATGGTAAATATCTAGGAAGTATTTGCTTAGTTTTTGGAACATCAATTGTAAGATGACAGAATGTATGGTTGGAAGCAAAAGGAACAGTCCAAGATGCGAACTAGGAATTGGTTACTTCATAATCAAGCAAGTACAAAATGGTAAATATCTAGGAAGTATTTGCTTAGTTTTTGGAACATCAATTGTAAGATGACAGAATGTATGGTTGGAAGCAAAAGGAACAGTCCAAGATGCGAACTAGGAATTGGTTACTTCATAATCAAGGCACAAAATGGTAAAATATCTAGGAAGGTTAGTTTTTGAAACATTTGTAAGATGACAGAATGTATGGTTGGAAGCAAAAAAAGAACAGTCCAAGATCAACTAGGAATTGGTGACTTCAAATTAAGTACAAAATGGTAAATATCTAGGAAAGTATTTGCTTAGTTTTTGGAACATCAATTGTAAGATGACAGAATGTATGGTTGGAAGCAAAAAGGAACAGTCCAAGATGCGAACTAGGAATTGGTGACTTCATAATTAAACAAGTACAAAATTTAAATACCTAGAAAGTATTTGCTTCAATTGTAAGATGACAGAATGTATGGTTGGAAAAGATGCGAACTAGGAAATTTGTACTTTTGGAAACATAATTGTAAAGTACAAAATTAAACTACCTAGAAAATGTAAATTTTGAACATCAATTGTAAATGATCAAAGGAACAGTCCAAGATGCGAACTAGGAATTGGTGACTTCATAATTGCAAGTACAAAATGTTAAATTAGAAAGTATTTGCTTAGTTTTTGGAACATCAATTGTAAGATGACAGAATGTATGGTTGGAAGCAAAAGGAACAGTCCAAGATGCGAACTAGGAATTGGTGACTTCATAATTAAGCAAGTACAAAATGTTAAATACCTAGAAAGTATTTGCTTAGTTTTTGGAACATCAATTGTAAGATGACAGAATGTATGGTTGGAAGCAAAAGGAACAGTCCAAGATGCGAACTAGGAATTGGTGACTTCCTAATTAAGCAAGTACAAAATGTTAAATACCTAGAAAGTATTTGCTTAGTTTTGGAACATCAATTGTAAGATGACAGAATGTATGGTTGGAAGCAAAAGGAACAGTCCAAGATGCGAACTAGGAATTGGTGACTTCCTAAATCAAGCAAGTACAAAATGTTAAATATCTAGGAAGTATTTTGCATTTTTGGAACATCAATTGTAAGATGACAGAATGTATGGTTGGAAGCAAAAGGAACAGTCCAAGATGCGAACTAGGAATTGGTGACTTCATAATCAAAGTACAAAATGTTAAATATCTAGAAAGTATTTGAGTTTTTGAACATCAATTGTAAGATGACAGAATGTATGGTTGGAAGCAAAAGGAACAGTCCAAGATGCGAACTAGGAATTGGTGACTTCCAGTAATTTGTACAAAATGTTAAATATCTAGGGAAGTATTTGCTTAGTTTTTGGAACATCAATTGTAAGATGACAGAATGTATGGTTGGAAGCAAAAGGAACAGTCCAAGATGCGAACTAGGAATTGGTGACTTCATAATCAAGCAAGTACAAAATGTTAAATATCTAGAAAGTATTTGCTTAGTTTTTGGAACATCAATTGTAAGATGACAGAATGTATGGTTGGAAGCAAAAGGAACAGTCCAAGATGCGAACTAGGAATTGGTGACTTCATAATCAAGCAAGTACAAAATGGTAAATATCTAGAAGTATTTGCTTTTGCTTAGTTTTTGGAACATCAATTGTAAAGATGACAGAATGTATGGTTGGAAGCAAAGGAACAGTCCAAGATGCGAACTAGGAATTGGTGACTTCATAATTAAAAGCAAGTACAAAATGTTAAATACCTAGAAAGTATTTGCTTAGTTTTTGGAACATCAATTGTAAGATGACAGAATGTATGGTTGGAAGCAAAAGAACAGTCCAAGATGCGAACTAGGAATTGGTGACTTCCTAATTAAGCAAGTACAAAATGGTAAATATCTAGAAAGTATTTGCTTAGTTTTGGAACATCAATTGTAAGATGACAGAATGTATGGTTGGAAGCAAAAGGAACAGTCCAAGATGCGAACTAGGAATTGGTGACTTCAAATCAAGCAAGTACAAAATGTTAAATACCTAGAAAGTATTTGCTTAGTTTTTGGAACATCAATTGTAAGATGACAGAATGTATGGTTGGAAGCAAAAGGAACAGTCCAAGATGCGAACTAGAATTGGTGACTTCAAATTAAGCAAGTACAAAATGTAAATACCTAAAAGTATTTGCTTAGAACATCAATTGTAAATGACAGAATGTATGGTTGGAAGCAAAAAGGAACAGTCAAGATGCGAACTAGGAATTGGTGACTTCATAATTAAGCAAGTACAAAATGTTAAATACCTAGAAAGTATTTGCTTAGTTTTTTGGAACATCAATTGTAAGATGACAGAATGTATGGTTGGAAGCAAAAGGAACAGTCCAAGATGCGAACTAGAATTGGTGACTTCATAAATTCCTAATTAAGCAAGTACAAAATGTTAAATATCTAGAAAGTATTTGCTTAGTTTTTGGAACATCGATTGTAAGATGACAGAATGTATGGTTGGAAGCAAAAGGAACAGTCCAAGATGCGAACTAGGAATTGGTGACTTCCAATTAAGCAAGTACAAAATGTTAAATACCTAGAAAGTATTTGCTTAGTTTTTGGAACATCGATTGTAAGATGGCAGAATGTATGGTTGGAAGCAAAAGGAACAGTCCAAGATGCGAACTAGGAATTGGTGACTTCATAATCAAGCAAGTACAAAATGTTAAATACCTAGAAAGTATTTGCTTAGTTTTTGGAACATCGATTGTAAGATGGCAGAATGAATGGTTGGAAGCAAAAGGAACAGTCCAAGATGCGAACTAGGAATTGGTGACTTCAATTAAGCAATCAACAAAATGTTAAATATCTAGAAAGTATTTGTATTAGTTTTGGAACATCGAAATGACAGAATGTATGGTTGGAAGCAAATAGTCCAAGATGCGAACTAGAATTGGTGACTTCATAATTAAATATTCAAGTATTTAGAAAGTAAGTTTTTGGAACATCAATTGTAAGATGACAGAATGTATGGTTGGAAGCAAAAGGAACAGTCCAAGATGCGAACTAGGAATTGGTGACTTCATAATTAAGCAAGTACAAAATGTTAAATTGGTTTTGGAACATCAGATTGGGAATTGGTTAGATGACAGAATGTATGGTTGGAAGCAAAAGGAACAGTCCAAGATGCGAACTAAGAATTGGTGAAAATGGTAAAATGTTAAATACCTAGGGAAGTATTTGCTTAGTTTTTGGAACATCAATTGTAAGATGACAGAATGTATGGTTGGAATCAAAAGGAACAGTCCAAGATGCGAACTCGGAATTGGTGACTTCATAATCAAGCAAGTACAAAATGGTAAATATCTAGGAAGTATTTGCTTAGTTTTTATGGTTGGAACATCCAAGATGCGAACTGAATTGGTGACTTCAAAATCATGAAATATCAGAATGTATGGTTGACAGAAGCAAAAGGAACAGTCCAAGATGCGAACTAGAATTGGTGACTTCATAATTAAGCAAGTACAAATGGTAAATATCTAGAAAGTATTTGCTTAGTTTTTGGAACATCAATTGTAAGATGACAGAATGTATGGTTGGAAGCAAAAGGAACAGTCCAAGATGCGAACTAGGAATTGGTGACTTCCTAATCAAGCAAAAATGTAAATATCAAAATGTTAAATATCCCTAAGCAAAAAGGAACAGTCCAAGATGCGAACTATTGGTGACTTCATAATTTAAGATGACAAAATGAATATCTAGTATTTGGTTTTTGGAATGACAGAATGTATGGTTGGAAGCAAAAGGAACAATTTGGTTACTTCATAATCAAGCAAGTACAAAATGGTAAATATCTAGAAAGTATTTGAATTTTTGGAACATCAATTGTAAGATTGTATGGTTGGAAGCAAAAGGAACAGT